TCATCTATCTATATCTATCTGTCTATCTATCATCTCTATCACCTCTCCTTCCTTCTTTCCTTCCTTTTCTTTTTCTTTCTTTTTTCTATCATGCCTTTCTGTCTCTCTCTCTATATCATCTCTCTCCTATCTATCTATCTATCTATCTATCTATCTATCTATCTATCTATCTATCTATCTATCTATCTATCTATCTATCATCTCTCTCTCTTTCTATTTGTATCCTACCTTCATTATTTTTACAAATAACTCAAGATCGTGAACATATCTAGCATCTTCCTATATTTCCCACAATAACAACATGTGAGGTATTGGGTTGAGAAAAAAATGACTGTCTCAAACTCACCCAGCTGGCTTTCATGGCTAAGATGGAACTAGAACTTACAATCTTCTGGTGATTGGCCCAAAGTCACCCAGTCGGCTTTATGGCTAAGGTGGAACTAGAACTCATAGTCCCTCCCTTTCTAGCCTGGTGTCTTAACCACCAAATTACCAAATGGTCTCTCTCTATCCTCCTATCTGGGCAGATATCAGCTTTTTAACTGACTAACATTTAAACACATTGTTAAATATTAAACAATGTTAAACATTGTTAAATGTTACAAAGTATAGTAAACACTGAAAATAAGGACAGAGGGAAGAAAACCCTAGTATGGGGGCATCTGATAGAGTTACAGTTGATTTGTTTTGTGACAGGTTAATGGTCTTGTGGGTTACGCAACCCCAGAATGGTCACTGTTGTTGTTTAAAAGGCACTGAAATTTGAAGCCTAGCCTGTTTAAGGCCAAAGAGAAGCTCAGACAAAGAATTTAGTATGTGGAAACTCCTAGGAGCTTAATTTCATGCTTTTTGGCAATTGAAAGAGAAACTTTATTCTGACATATTATCTCTCTGGTTTTGTAGTTCCCAAGTTCTGAAGAGTCTTTACTTTGGCCTGTTTTGATGCTTTGCCTTCTACTGTAATGAAGTGAAGACTCACACAAGTCCCTTATGCCCAAAACCTCTTTCTGTATCAAATGGAAGTAACTGAAATTGTAGGTCGTAGGCTGTTGCACTGCCTGCTTTAAATAGACAATACTAAAAAAGGAAAATTGTTCAAAGGTACCCTCTAGTCTATTTAAAATATAACGACGAGAGAGGGGAAAGTCTGAACTTACGTCCAAGATTATAATTATATAATTACTCTTAGGAGGGAGTTTTAACAGTCAAAACACAGACAACCTTTTTAGAGACCCAGAAAATTTTCTCAAATTGTATAACAAATTGTATTAATTTGTTTAATCCACAATTATTTCTACCTGATCAAGCTTCTGTTGCCTTTTCAACAGCTCCTGTTCAAATGGAGTTTTTAATTTCTTTGCCTCTTCTTCTTCTTTCCTCTGTCTCAACAGCTGGTTTCGTCGACGATGTTCCAGGACTCTTTGCAGTTCTGGTTTACTCTCAACTCCCAATCCTCTAAAAGGTAAGGTGGATAGCGAAAGACTGAGATGGAACTTGAATGCCAAAAAGATAAATACTGCAATAAAATAACCTAGGAGGGTAATTGTATGTATGTCTTCCCACACACCCCAAATAAATTTAACTGACTTTCTAGATAGGTTTCTGTCCCTAACCCATCCCAGTCCTGCCATGTTATCTCGTGATGGAGAGATGTTCCTTAGAGAAATAAGCAAACTGCAGTGAGAATATATGCCAAGAGTGCATACTTCACACCCCAGGTGCTCAGCTAAAACAAACAGATGCTGGAGATGGGTGATCATTTTAGTGACAAACACAAAGGCATCATTTCATACTGCATAAGAGAACGCATGGGAAACTATTTGATTGAGAAAACCAAATGGGTAGACAAAACGTGGTAAATGTTGATATAGGCCTCTCAAGTTGGGTGCCACTCAACATTCTACTGAGGATCTTTCAGAATGCTAATGGTGTTATGACACTGCTAAATAAAAGCTTTCCAGATGGTTGCTAATGCCAGAAAAAAAATTCGGAAGCTGCAAAAATAGAATTTATGGTGGGAGTATGGAATATAAGGAGCACGAACACGGGAAAGCTCAATACTCTGTCTGCATCCTCTTTCTTGGTGTCATGCTCCATGTCACCCATTGGCAGGTCAACTTTTGATGATACTCCAGGCAAAAAGTGAAAAAGGAAGTGAACAGAAGGACATAAACAATTGACTATAAAGAAGACCCAAGAAATGACAACAAGTACAACAACTAGCTTTAGAATTGACAATGAGGATATTAAAGTGGTGGATAGCTTGTCCATTTAAGATCAACAATCAACAGTAAAATCAAGAAATACATCACAGACTAGCACTTGTAAAGTAGCCATGAAGTCTTTGGAAATTATTCAGATACAGGGCTGTGTATCCATGAGAGTGCCATGGATATTCAAGAAAACAACCAAATGGATCAATGTCTGTGGTGATTCTCAGTCATTCAGGTCATAGTTGTCTCAAAAGTACTTTTTCAAAAGACAACTGAACTGTTTTTCCAAATCAGTCTGGAGTTCTCACTTGAGAAACAAATAACCAGGGTCAAATAATCATATTTTGGACAGATTATGAAAAGATCCAGCAGCAAAATGGAGGAATTACAAAGCAATGAGTGTAGAACTGAAAGTTCTGAATAGGCCACGTTGAGGGCAGGTCATTCTAGAGAAAGTTTGTCTATGTGTAGAAAGTTTATGTGTAGAGAAAAATCATCTATGTTTCTAAGAATTGACAGCAGAATCCAATGTGAAAGTTGAGGTTCAATGGAACTTCCAGGAAAACAAATACCAGAATGTGTAAAGTCAAAGGACACACATGAAAAACTGCTAGGATAAATTAACAAACTTCTGGAGAACTCAAAGTTTACTCAGGATGTTTTATCAAAAGAGCATTTCTTTTCATCTTCCTAAAACTGTTTCATTTACCCATTTTTCCATCCACTTATGGTGGAGTAGAAGAAATCTGAAGCCTTGAATTTCCAAATGTCTCCAGACACTTAAGCTTGATAATTAATTGCAAACTGCATCATCAAAATTGGTATCAGAGCGCTAGAAGAAAATGTGAATTTGTAAATTAACTGTTACTTTTATTAAATCCCCATTTCTCCTTAAAAGCGAAACAAAGTAAAATATGAAACTAAACACAGATAAATAAAAATGCATAGTGGCCCACCAGTTTGATTAAGGTATAGAACTGATAATACTGCCTGATCCAGTGATGCAGTGATAATTAAAGGTTTGCTCTCATCCTCTTCCTTCCTCTCACTCTTGGCAACTTTAAAATGTGTGAACTTCAACTCCCAGAATTCCCCAGATGGCTGAAGAATGGATTCCAGCAAACTACTTTGAAGCAGTACTGCACATGCCCAAGACACATGTGCTATTTCCAAAAACACAATCTGTGCTTAACAAATTGTTATATCATCCTCTGACTGAATTGTTATTAATCTTGATTAATGTTTGGGTCTATTGCTTTACAGGAGCTGTAATCTCAGTTGCATTATTTGTTTTTATACTGTAGCTTGGCTAAAATCTCATGTAAAGTATAGCACCTAAGCATTTCTAATAAACCGATATTTTGAAATAAGGTTGCTAAAGGTCTGAGCACTTCTTCATGTGAAAGAGTGAAAACTTGGCAGGGTGGAGTTTCCTTGTTTCCATTTCAGGCAAATGCATAACCTGCTGGATGTTTTATGTATAAATACAACCTGCAAAAATGCAGGAGAAACCCAGGCAGAAAAGAAAGTACTTAGGTTTCAAAAACATATTAAGTTTCTTAGAATTAATTAAAAGAAACGGACAAAAAAGCTTCTCTTTTGTTCCTTTTTTCCAGCAGGGGGAGTAATTTAACCAACAATCTTATATTGCAATTTAGCATCAGAGGTTCTGGTGTGGTTTCCACCAGAGAAGATCTCAACCTTCACTACTATATTTGCTAGAAGTGCGGTGCTTAATGGGCTTTCCCATTGCTGGTTTTAGTCATTTGGGTCAGATGAAAAAATTGGTCTTCTTAACTGGTTTCCATATTCTGAAGGTCAGTCTTGCAATTGGACAACTAAGACAAACTGTATCTCTTCATGTTGTGTCCTATGTGGTACATTTCACTATCAACTGCTGGGTTAACTCTTTCTATCTTCTCAAGCTCAGTGTTGATGATTTGATGGATAGCCAAAGAGGGATTCTACTTATAATTCCACTGCCAACACTTTTTAAAACCTCGTTGGACTAGATGACCTCCGAGGTCCCTTCCAACTTTATTATTATTATTATTATTATTATTATTATTATTATTATTATTATTATTATTATTATTATTATTATTATTATTATTATTATTATTATTATTATAGGCATGTGCAGGACAGATTTCGGAAATCCCATCTCTAATCTTCCCAGTTACAATGTCCCTTCAATGCACAAGGAGCTGTAACGAACTAGCTGAATTTTTTGAAAATATCAACCTATTATTCTCAAAGGACAATTTCTCGTGGGTTACATATAACCTGCAGGGAGCCTAGTGCAACTAAATAGGACAAGAACTTTCTTATGGAGCACCTGCTTTATGGAGTTCCTTTCTTGCAAAGTGCAGCCTAATCCCTTCCTGGCTGAATTCAAGAGGAGGCTGAAGGCTCAATATTACACTCAAGCCTTCTTTCCTTAGGATTTTTGTCTTTTGATACAGATGTTTCACATTTCATACTGTAGCATGGTTTTGAGTATTGAGCTAATTTATGGATTTTATACTGCAAAGCTTAAGATGTTGTCGAATTTTACTGATGCTCTTTTTGATTTATTCTGCTTACCAGTTCAGTTGGTTAGTTAAAATTGGATGGCTTATATATATGGCAAATAAATAAACAAACAAACAGTTGTATCGTTAATTATTATAGTAAAGTTAAGGAAGCAGTAAACAAACAGGGGTTCAGATGCTGCCCAGAGTCACTTTTTTGTAAGATAAGCAACCATATCCTATCATGTCTCCCTTAAGTCTTCTTTTCATCAGACTGAATAGCCCAAATTCCTTCAGCCTGTTTTTATAGTGCACTATGTGCTCCATACATTCTTATTTCCCAATGTTGTATCTAGATTTTGTATACTTTTATGTTTGTCTTTCAAAATGCTGTAAGCTGCCTTCTTGAAGAGGTGGTAAATATTAAAATAATTGTTGTTAATATAGAACTGTTATTAAGAAGATGTAGATCAGCAGCCCTCTTTCTAATGTCAAAGTTTTGAGATTTTATTTTTTAATCAAACTTCCATCACATCAGCCTCCTTTATTAGGTCTGAATGACTCACTCCGTCTCTTACCTGTCTACTTTTTGCAAAGGAAATTTGTGTTTCATAAAACAAATAATGCTAGCGGATATGGCTGAGGAACCAACAGGATATTGGCCCGATCTTTTGTCTCTTTTCATCTAGATAGCTCATGATCAGTCCATCATTTGCCTTTCATCTATAGATATACAGTATGTACCTTTCTATGAGGCTTTGGGAAATCTCAGCTCATCTTTGGTATTATTTGATGCTGCAAGGAACCAAAGGAGGACAAAATGTTATCTGAATCATGACAGAACTTTTTTTCCAAGACCAACAGAACTAAAAAAATATGTATGACTTTTAATTTTTAAAAAACTTCTTCAAAGTTCTATGTGGAACTAGACAATATCATCCAGATATATGGTTTGCACAAATGTTGACATATGCATCTTATACTGCAACAAATGCTGTGTTTGCACAAAAACCCTCCGCCTTTCCATGATTAGCTGAATTATGCTTTTCTCAATCCAATTTTCGAGGTTCACAAAAGGGCCTGGAGGCTAAATCGTATGAGGAACAGTTGAGGGATCTAAGTTTCTCTAGCCTATCAAAGAGAAGGATTGGGGGGGGACATGATAGTTATATTTCAGTACTTGAGGGGCTGTCACAAAGAAGAAAGGATTGATTTATTCTCCAAAGCACTAGAGGGCAGGACAGGAAGTAGTGGGTGGAAACTTGTCAAAGAGAGATACAACCTAGAAGTAAGGAGAAATTTTGTGACAGTGAGAGCAATCAAACAAAGGAAGAGTTTGCCTCCTGGGGTTGTAGATCCTCCATGACTGGAGGTTTTCCAAATAGACTGGACAACCATTTGACTGGGATGATATAAGACTCCTGCGTTGAGCAGGGGGATTGGACTAGAAGATCTCCAAGGTCCCTTCCAGTCCTATGATTCGTTGATTCAAACCTTACATATTAGGCTATTAAATATATGTGATCAGCTTAGTATTATTTTTTAGACACCGTGTAGGTGGATGTTCTGCAGGACAATCTATCACCAATATGGTCCTTCAGGTCTTCCAAAAGTGTATCCATCACTGCTTTAATTGAGTCCATCTGTCCTTGCTGAGAAGATAGCTGCAGACCTCTTGCATCCTAAACATAAATTGTTTCAACTCCTCCCATTGGGACAGCACTATAGGGCATTGCAGGAGAAAATAACTAGACAGTGGGATAGTTGTTTTCCCTTGTGCCATCACTTTGCTGAACACCTAATTCTCATAGTGCCATCTAATGTATATGTGTATTTACCCATGTAGTATGACCATAGTATTATTATTTATCCTTATTATCTTTACTCCCCCCTCTTATTGGTATGATTATGATTATGATTATTCTGTTGCTTTGCACATACACTGAGATCTTCTGCATTGGAGACAAATTACTTGTGTATCTAATCACCCTTGGTCAAATAAAGTATTTGTGTTCAAGTTTCGAACTTAGTTTGCTGCCAGTTGTTTTCTTCAAAGTATTATAATCTGAGCCTGGACATTGTCTCAAGTGAAAATTTGAGGTTGACTTGTTCTATGATGCATTGGGTTGATTTCTTTTGGCTCCTCCAGTACACTCAGGGGTTATCTCCAACATAAAAGTATTGATAAAAATGTCAATATTCTATCCCACTTCTTCAAACTCCAACATTCTTTGCCATAAAATGTCACAGACAAAACCAAAGATGTCATAGTACACATAACACACACCCCTCTCCAACCCTCCTGAGGAAGCCTATGGCCCCAACCCTCTGCTCACCTTCTGTGATTCATAAGTAGTTCCCGGTGAAGTTCTTGGTGGCTTTTCGAGGCTCTTACAGGATTGAGCAGTTTTTTAGGTTTGATAAGATCAGGATTTCCATCAAGATAATCAGGATGAGTCATGATACTCCCAATGTCAGGCCGCTCTGATTGCATGTCTGAATACATAGATGCTGGGGGAGGGAGAGACATCAGACAACGCATTACAATAACTGAAAAAAAAATCTCAGAAATCAGGCATATATCAAACCCAAAGCCCTTAGATTTTAGAATCATAGTTTTTATCTGAGTGATTCCTCTCTCTAAGCAAAGTTACCAATTTACATTAGAAATCTTACAAGACTTTCTATTTTTTAATTATTTAGTCTTGGAAGACTAAGTAAAATATCATGTGAACTCCTGTGCTTTGGATTAATATAGATGGTAGATGTATAGTGACACGACTACCACTACTACTACTACTACTAGAGTTTTGGTGAGGCAATCACTATTAGTTTCTCTCACTTTCTAATTTTTGCTAATATTTTAGCAAAATATTGCCTAAACTCTTTCATGTAAATAGTCAGAAATGAATGATAATAATTCTAAATTGAATTATAATTCTTTGGTTCAAAAAAAATACATGTTTGGATTTGCATCCCTTCAAATGTATGCTTAGCAAATTTCTCCCCATCCCTAGTCAGTTCAAAGCCAAATTTACCTGCAAATGTCTTTTTGAGGCAGATCCTGACTAGCTTGGGATCATTATATATAAATGTTTGTATGCTCATCAAAATAGCTTCCTACAACCTGATGACCTTTTCATAAGTTAGAACGACAAGATATAGAGTTGTCAACCAGCATGACCAATAATTGGTATGCTCACCTGTTTACTTGTTTGTCTTACACATGAGATTTATGTCATAAGATTTAAAGACCATCTTTCCTCTGAGAGTTTATACATAAATTCAACAAACAAGAGCCAGTAAAAAAAATGTTCTGGCCCAATTCATGTTGAAAAATATATTCCTTTTTCAAGAGTTCATCTGAAACACGTGTGATCAAGCTCACCCCCCAAAAAAACATTTGGTTTCCTCTCCCTCTTCACTGCCTGTCCTCCTCGTTCATTGATCTGCCATGTTTCCCATATCAGTAACCACATGGGGTGGACCAGACTCTGCAAGGCAGTAACTCAGCCAATCTATGGCTGAAAGCGGACATGGATCTGAATCTTCCTGGACTCAATCTAAAAGCTTGAATTGTCTGTCACCTGAAGGAAACATGCTGGAAAAAATGTACTTCAGATGACCATAGATGTCTGGTTGGGGTGGCCATGGTATGACTGGGAGGCATGCAATAGAGGGGACACGTCTCTCTCTCTCTCTCTCTCTCTCTCTCTCTCTCTCTCTCNCACACACACACACACACACACACACACAGAGGCATACTCAAGGAATACAGAGCTAAAGCAGCACTGGCTCCCTTTCCATGATGCTCTTCTATCTCTCCCTTCCTGACTGCTGGACTTCTTCTACTTTTTACCAAACATCTCCAAAGTCCAACAGGAAGCTGAAAGGGAGAAGGGCACATTAAGTAAATTAGAGAAAAACAGAAAACATTCATATTTTTTTTTCTTTTGTAAAAAAGACAAAGTGACTGAATTCATAGCACTACTGGGGTTCCCTCCTGCAAGGTACAAATGACAGGTCTCTGATGGCGAATGGAAAAAGACCCAAGCAAAGCCAATCGCCATGGATTACATCACTATAATTGGGGTGAAAAGTTCAGGGCTACAATTAAGCAGCACAGGAGGGATAAGGGGTCTTGTGACTCCTTTCACCAAGTACAAGTGGGTTTTATTACAATTTTTGTCAAAGGAAATGGCTAACGGTGTGGTGTGGACGGTGTGCTTATCTCACTCCTTTTCTTTTTCAAGGAAGATTTTCTTGTTATGCTTTGAAATGATGCAGACAATTTCTGTAAGTTGGAAAGCTCAGCATGGTTTGAGAGTCCACAAACTATAGGGGTGGGTAGCTGAGACTAATATAACCCCTGGAGAGTTACAGTGCTAAGACTGAAGAAAAGTTTACATCAAACCCCTTGAGCTGCAAATATTTTGCATTAAATCCCTTGTGCTGCAAATACCTGGGAATAGCATTGGAGTCCCTAGTTTTAGAATGATTAAAATCAGAATTTTGCCTAGTAAAAACAAGCCCATGAATAAAACACAGGAAGCAAGGAGGTTGTCCTGTGTGTTACCAATTTAAGATTTAGAAATGTTTGCCTAAGGAAAATGTTTATTTGCTTCTTCAGGCAGACGGTTATTTTCAAGATGTTGCAATACCTGACATTTTAAAGACCATGAATTTGGGACACAGGAATGGGGGAAGATGTTTGCAAGGATAGTACGGAGGAGACAAGATTCATTATACTAATATGATTGTGTAATACCAGGCTCAAGTCAATAGAAAGGTGAAAAAAAGCAAAACTGAATGTCCCAAAGATGCTTTTTCACAAGGCAACTGGACTTGTTTTTCTTTGAAGATATTTCGCTTCTTATCCAAGAAGCTTCTTCAGCTCTGACTGGATGGTGGGGAAAGGAAGAATTTATACTCCTTGCAGACAGATAGACATTTGCATTCTTAGAGAGTCATTGAGGCCATCTTCTTGGAATTGCTGAAAGAACTATGTTGTAGACTGGAGATAGATGATGTTGTATCCCTCCCCCTCTGTTGAGAGAGGGCTGTTCAATTTTGACATAGATGGCCTCTTTCAAACCAGTGGTCCAAAATGTGGACTTTGTTATCTTCGAAAGAGTGGCCTTTCTCTTTCAAATGCAGATGGAAAACTGAATGTCATTTATTACATACATCAAATAAATGACCATTGTGGTATGTGGCATAAGAACCCACAGTTCATAGCAAAAGCAGATGATGAAATGCTGCTACCTCAATCTGATGCCTCCCAGAGGCCTTGGGTCTGCATGAGAGAGTGCCACCGTTAGAGACAGACTGTACACTGTATTCACTTTCCAACAATGGAAAAGTGCTATTCAGCCATCCATGTCTTCTTGATGAAAAAAAAGCGAGATCCCTTTATTGGATCAGACATGTAACAAAACTGATGCAGAGGGCTATATGCCCAACAGGTATGCCTTTGCAGCTTTACATAACATGACTCACATCAATCTCACTTCTGGGTAATTGTGGTCACTGCACCATTCTTCAAGAAGAAAAAGGATTCAGGCACAGACAGCAGAAAAACATATCTTGTGTGTGTGTGGGGGTCTCCCTCAAATATGTGGACAGCAAGTGAGGCGGTATACAGGTAGTCCTTGACTTATGATCACAATTGATCCCAAAATTTCTGTTGTTAAGCGAGACATTTGTTAAGTGAGTTTTGCCCCATTCTACGACCTTGCTTGCCACAGTTGTTATGTGACTCACAGCAGTTAAGTAACAAGGTTGTTAAATGAATCTGTCTTCCCCTTGACTTTGCTTGTCAGAAGGTTGCAAAAGGTGACTCCAGGACACGGCAACTGTCATAAATATGAACTATTTGCCAAGCGTCCAAATTTTGATCACAGGACCATGGGGACGCTGCAGCGGTCTAAAGTATGAAAAACAGTCATAAATTACTTTTTTAAAATGCCATTGTAACTTCAAACGGTCACTACACGAACTGTGGCAAATTGAGGACTACCTGTAATTAGGGAAGGACTGTAACTCAGTGATAGCCCCCACGGTTTGCCCATGAAAGATTCCATTTTAGTTCCCAGTATCTATTTTTATTTATTTATTAAATTTATATGCTGTCCATCTTGCCTAGAGGTGATTCTAGATGATTTATAACGAAGTATTTCAACTTTGAAATATTACTGACTGATCTCCTAAAGAACTCCTGCCAACATCATCAATCACCATAAACAGCTGGATCAGATGAGCCATGAAACTATGTTATCAGAGACTTTTGAGGCAGAGTCCCTCAAGCACGTTAAAAGGGGTCTTTCTTGTGTAACTTACATTAGATGTTCTTCCTGAACCTGGAATCTGTTCCTTTTTTCCCAGTTTCAAAACATTCACCTCAGCCTTTCTGCAAGAAATAGCCTTCTTATGCTTCACCCTCATTTTTGTCCTCATCTCTGTTCTGAAAGGTATAAATTGGGTTGAGATGCAGGACCAGGTATTCAGGCAGCCTCATGCCTGGAGATTTGTATCCTCTGTGCTTAAACTGATACTATGATCAACATCTCCTGCCATCTCTCTCTTACACAATAGTGCCTTTGGCAAAGAAAACTATCTTTCTGTTAATGTGCTGTTTGTCCTTGAATTATGTAAGTCCTAGGGGTTGTTTCAGACCAGATACTGCTATTGCCGGAAACCGTCTTCAATAGGGATTCTAATATGTTCTCGTTCTCTTGTCTCTCTCTCCCTCCCTCCCTTTCTCTCCCCCCTCTCTCTCTAACATTATGTCCCTTTTTCTAAACATGAGGTAAAAAGCAAAGTGACAGAGCTGAAGAATGTTTTCATGCTCCCTTGTTGCTTGTGATAAGTAACAATTTCTATTAAGAACTTTTCTTGTAAAACGAGAGGTACTGAAAGACACAATTCCTAGTCACTTTGGCAGGAGAAGAAAGGAATAATTCAGACCACTCTTCTGTAAACTTTTTATAATAACTTTTTATTACAGTTTATAATTACAAAGATAAAAAAACTAATACAAACTATGAAAAATATGGGAGTAAAAAAGAAAAGAAAAAACACAATAAAGAAAAAAAGGGATATATAAAGAGATGACTTCCCTCTTCATCACAAGAACAAAGTATTTCAGTAACGTATCACTGATATTACAACAAAAGAGCTCTTCTCTGACTGTTTTGTTCAAAAAAGAGAAGTAATGTTTGCAAAAAGAGGCTGAATTGGTTTGTTACTTGCTCAGAATCCTTAAAATCACATGGCATAACTGCCTATGAGAGAAATTCACGGCTGGCATTTGTAGCTCCCTTGCTCAATGAAATTAATGCTTGCTAATTTGAAGTCAAATGAAACAATTTTTATTTTAATGGTAGAGACGTTCAGCTCTGGTTGATAAGTGACCCCAAGTTGGTCACTTGGACCATCGTTCCGGTCCCCATTTATACAATACCCGATATACATCAAGGACCATAGGTCCTTGTCTAAGAACACTCGAAATA